ACACACACACACACACACACACACACACACACACACACACACACACACACACACATACATACATACATACATATGTATATATCCTATCCCCACTAATTTTATATAGGCTTAAAATAATCATTACAGAAAATTATTCCTTTGTTGCCATGAAAATCATTTCTGTTTCCARTAGATTAAAGGGTTGTTAGTATGGTTTCACTTGTGCCCATAAAGATGATTGATTCTGTTATCTAAAATCTTCATTGTTAAAATTAAAACTTTTTTCCGTTTATCTATTTTTTAATATTTGTAATAAAATGATGTTTTTAAAAATTGTTCATGTAAATCATCCAAATAAGGCTTATAAGCTAATATTTAAGTTTCCTGTTCATATCAAAGTCAAATAAAATATTAGTTTGTTTATTAAGCACTTGAAGACCCATCGAGTTTGTTTAAAATCCCTGTTTGATTTCTTAGCTGTGACAATTTTACAAATTACMACCTCTCTTTTGAGTCTCAGCTGTCCAGTCTGAGTTATTACTCCTTGGTTAGCTAAGTAATTACAATGTAATTTTTACCAGCAAAGCAAAAATGTCTCTACTTTATGTGTTCACATACGTTAAAGGTAAATTATTTCGGTGTTGAGATGATTTATTTTATAAAAGAGTTCGGCTTAATTCTGTTTAGAAAGGCAGCCACGTCCACAGAATGATGGGCTAACAGCTAACAGTACGATGAATGATAACTTGCGGACCTATAAAATGCATCTGTCAGAGCTAGCTAGCTTTAACATGCAGTCGTTTAAATGAAGATTAAAACATTACCATTTTGATACGAGTGTCCTAATGAGAGTCTAAAGCCCGAGCTTCTCTTCAACCCGAATTCCACGTCAACTGAGCAGAAGACCGTGATTTTACAATTTGGTCAAAACTTCAGAACACGTCTCACAACGCTGACGAGGGTCTGAAAAAAGGACACGAATGCTAAAATCAGGACCCGACAAGGCGACCRAGTAGATGCCTGACCAAAGGAATAGATTCGACACAAACATTTGGTTCAATAGTATTTTTAGGACATTATTTTCTATTTATATCTGAAAAGAATATTTTTCAAAAATAAAATAAAAATTTAAACAGCATAATTTTTTTGTAAATAAAATTGCATTAGACGAAAGGCAAATGGATGGTGTGCCTTGACGCTCACAAGAATCAGGAAACAGACGCCATTGTGGATCAACACGGAGCTCGCTTAGCTTTATTACACCGGGCAACAGGAGCCAAAATGGCCTTCAACTGTTAGAGATTCTTGTCAGCTAGGCGAGTTTAATCAATGGTTTCTGAACTCGGACAAGATAGTGGAGAGACTGAAAGGTAAACACAAATATATGCTACTCGTTTTAGCCTAAAACRTGTCTCTCTCTGCCCGATCTTTATATGTTACGTTCGGCTAATTTTGCTTTCGGGTAAAACTGCCTGGCTACTAAATACTACAGGATAGTCTGTGCCAAAAGTTATTATTGAAGCTACATCTTTGGCTAAAAACAAACAGCTAATTCAGAATATCGTGTTTTTCTGAGTTTTTATTTTCGATTGCGGGTTTGCATATTTTGCATTCATGGCACTGTGCTTCCARAGACAAGATATGTTTATAAAATGTTACAAACCTTAGTTAAATTATTTGTTAATTTTAAGAACATTTTCTTTCTTGTGCTTCTAAATTATGAATGAACTTCTAATATGTGACCCATCACATCGAAACAAGGATTAAGTCCAAAATGTTATATGGAGAAAAAGGCAAATATAGTGTTCTGACTAAAATGCTGACAAAAAATGCATTTTTGTCAAAATATAATGAATAAATGC